TTTAAAATGTATTCCCCTACAGATTACGGATTACATACCCCAAAATGTAGTTTGTAACATAATCCATTAAATTACTTAAAGTGAGTAACGTAATCTGAATACTTTGGATTACTTGATATTGTTATGCTTTTGAAAACAACATGAATGTAACAACCACATCTGTTGAGCCCAAGTCTCCATGAACAGACAACTGTTTACTATAGAGAAGTAAAGACCAGGAAATCTTAACATGAGATATTTGTTTTGTCTGCTAAAAGAAAATAAAAAGCCCTGTCTTTACTTAAGCATTTTAAAAAATGTTATTGATAGAGAAGTGATTTCTATATGAAATCACTGCTGCCTTAAATTATGTCCACCCTACTGTTAGGTGTCATATTGTCTAGACCAGGTTTAGTCCTGCTTTTAGACCTGGTTCAGTCCTGGTTTAGACCTGGTTCAGTCCTGGTTTAGACCTGGTGTAGTCCTGGTTTAGTCCTGGTGTAGTCCTGGGTTTAGTCCTGGGTTTAGTCCTGGTTTAGGGTTGGGTTTAGTCCTGGTTTATTCCTGGTTTATTCCTGGTTTAGTCCTGGTTTAATCCTGGTTTAGTCCTGGTTTAATCCTGGTTTAGTCCTGGTTTAGCCCAAAATGTGAAAACAGGAAAATACCGCTGTGTAATCCATTTATTTTAACAAAGTAACTGTAATCCAATTACCACTCACTGAAACAGTAACTGTAACTGAATACAGTTACTCATAAATTGTACTCTGATAACGTAATCCCAGTTACATGTAATCCATTACTCCCCAACGCTGTCTGTAACTATGGTTTAAAGTATTTTTCTCAGCACATTTTAAATTGCAATATTAGCCTAAAACAACTTAAAGGGACAGTCCGGAATGAGCCAGAGTGTTGGAGACGTGTGGAGACACTTTTTTAAATATTCCTTCCAGTCCTTGTATTTGCAGAGGTCACTGGTGTTAGGCTAGTGCATGTCAATGGTCATAGTTATCCTGCCACTAAAAACAGTCTTACCCACTCCACAAAACACCCGAAGCAAATATATTATTACACCACTGTCAGTGTAAATCGGTAACATAGGTGCTGGGTGATATCAGTCCGCCGCTGCCGAGCTTTCTATCAGCTGCTGCTCAGACATAAATCCTTCAAATGCAAGGTTGGTTTTATTTCAAACATTATTCTATCAACACAGACATTCACATGGACAGTCTGGTGTAATAATAGATTTGCTTCGGGTGTTTTGTGGAGTGGGTAAGACTGTTTTTAGTGGCAGTAATAAACAAAACAAGCCCATCAGTGGGAGCTGACATCGCTGTAAACGTCATTACAACAACAAGTGCCGCTCTGCTGAACCATGGGGTCAGAACCTTTAATGGACAGCTGTAGATCACACTAGCAAGAAGCAGATATATTTTTGTTTTATATTGTCCCAGATAAAAGAATGCAATGATGCAGACTAATCCTTGTAAATCTGTGTATCATTCATTCATTTGTTTTTCAAAATAAAACCAAAAATAAGAAAACGGAAAAAAAAAAACATCTATTTTCTTAATTATTTGTCTCCAAAACTAAAAAGAAAAAATAAATAAATAAAAGGATAACAATTTGTTTGTTTTTTTAAATTTTCGATAAATGGAAAAAACGGATAACGGCTGTTTCTCATTTCCGTGACTTAAACTGTGATGCTGGACTTTTGCGAAGCATATGGGCTGAACCAGGACTAAAACAGGACTAATCCAGGTCTAAACCAGACTAGGACTGAGACCAGGAATGAGACCAGGACTGAGACCGGGATCAGAACTGAGACCAGGACTGAGACTGGGACCAGACCAGGACTCAAACCAGTTTAGTCCTGGTTTAGTCTTGGTGTAGTCCTGGTTCAGTCCCGCATCGCAGTTTAAGTCACGGAAACAGGAAACGGCCGTTATCTGTTTTCCATTATTCATTTAAACACAAACCCGAAAAGTGAAAAAACAAATCATTATCTGTTTTTTCATTTTGGTTTTGGAGACAAACAATGAAGAAAATAGTTGTTTTTTGTTTTCTTATTTTTTGTTTTATTTTGAAAAACGAATGAATGAATGATACACTGATTCAGAATCCTACTTTTTCACTGCTTCAGAAAATAAAACTAAAAACAGAGCAGTGGGTGTGTATCGGTTTAAACAAGTTCAGATTGCTTTTTTGTCTTGAAGGAGAATAAAGATTACTCAAGCACGCACAAATCAGTCTAAATACAGCTTTGAGTGGGTAAATTAAAATGGAGTACTACAGTATGGATGTATGTACGGTTAAAAGCTCTAAAAAGTCGATTTTCTGCTTCGATATGACCTCCTGAATCACTCCTGATGCACCATTAATGCAGAGACAGAGCGAGTCAGTCATGTGTCTTAGGAGCCTCGGCTGAACACTTTCACGATATTGTCGGCCTTTTATTTATTCTTTTCTCTATAGCTACAAAACGGCGGAACACGCTCTGCTGTCACAACAAAAAGGTTCGGCCGGGGTTCAATTCCCAGATAAAGAAGTAAAGAGCGTAGAGTAATTTGGTATTTGTTATGTTGTGTTGATGTATCCGTGTTGTGAGAGGGAGGACAGGAGAGAAAAGAGAAGAGAGATAGAGAGAGGAGAGATATATAGATGGAGAGAGAGGAGAATAGAGGAAAGAGGAGGAGGAGGAGGGATCCGTGAGCGACACTTTTAATTTTCCATTGGCTGCCTCAGTGTCAGAGCGGGGAGAGTGGGTTAGCGTCGTCCCAAACAGAAGCGGAGAGTTTGTCAGGATGAAAATCACTTGAGGAGAAGAGAGCAGGACTGGGGCCGGGCAGTGCACATATAGAAAAGACCGCTCCACAGAGGAGGCTTAAGGGGCTTATGCTAATTAAACAGACTTATGGAGATTCTTATCAAGTTATTCCGTTGTTATTATTAATCCAGAAGAAATACACAAAAAAGTATGACACTGTTATATTTTCTCTATATACTGTAGCTCATTTTGCCTCAGAACGTAGAAAACAACATAAGCGACAAGACTTTCCTCCATGTTTGAAGTCCACACGCTTTCATTTCACTTATATCAGTTAGTATAGTGGGTGAATTACTTTTTATGTAACGTATTTCCTGCAAACTACCAACTCAAATTCTATCAGCTACTGTTTTTAGCCTCATTTAATCCTTTCGTGACATGACGTGCCCATATACTTTTTGTAAACAAATCAGTCTTGCTTCTATAAGTCACAGAAGATGAGCTGTCCTACAAACAGAACATTTACTGTGTTTTTCGGACTGTAAGTCGCACTTTTTTTCATGGTTTGGGTGTTTCCTGCGACTTATACTCTAAAGTGACTTATATATTCAAATTCAGACAGAAGTAAGAAGGTGCTCTAGGATTTTGTGTCAGTATCTGCTGCTCCTGTTGCTCCTGTACCACTGTGACTTGGCTCTACTGCGCATGTCTCCTGCAGAAAGAGCCTCTGTCTTGTCTGTATCATGTCAGTCGATCGCACCTTTACTTCTGTACCACTGAAAATTTAACATTTAAACAAACATAAAGACAACTGAAACCATCCTGTCGGGATTCAGAAAGGCTGGAATAATTCTAACTGGAACTGATGCTGAGTCTGACGACAGCGACACAGAAGAGGTGCTCTGTTTACCTCCGGAGGTCAAAGAGTTGCTCAGAAGTGACACAGAGGATGAAGAATTCAATAGATTTTGTGATTTGGAGTGAGATGGAGAGTTTGTTAAACTTGTTCTGTTCTGTTGTTTATGTTATATTTATCTGAAGAACTGTTCATATGTGACGTTAACAGTCTGTTGTTCTCTCTTCTATTGTTTTTACTAGAACTTGACTTTCAAGATAACATGTCACTTCCTGATCTCTGATTTTATAAACGAAATTTCCCCCAAATATTGCGACTTATACATGTTTTTTCTTTTTCATTATGCATTTTTTGGCTGGTGCAACTTATACTCCAGAGTGACTTATAGTCCAAAAAAAACAAAAAAAGATACTTTTATAGACTATTAAAAATTGCTATTGAATTTTTTGGTTTATTTTCATTTTAATTGTGGTCTGTTGCTTCCTTGTGCTTGCAACACAATAATGACCAGGAATCTCCAGCCTTTTTTCTCGGGTGAGTTATCTTTACAAAACGGAAATTCTGGAGAGCTACTAATTTTAGCAGTCGCAGGAAATAAAGTATAAATAAGAGCCATGACAAGACTTAGAGGGGTACAATTAGATTAAACATAGAACACAAACTATTATTTCTTTATGAATGCACAAAGTCAGGCACCAAAAATGATAGATTTACAATAATAATAGGCATTTAATTAGTCACATTTGAGTTATTTAGTGCAATAAGTATAATTCAGAAATCCGTAGGCGAGCTACTTGGAAGGAGGCGGAAAGCTGCTGGTCGCGTCTAAGCTACAGGTTGGAAACCCCTGATAAAAACCTATTCAGATGACGCACCCTCCCCCAGAAAAGTTACGCAATGCAACTTTAAGCTTCTTTTGACAAGCTCAGTCTCACACAAGGAACATGACCTAAGTGTTTCCTATAGATTTTGTTTATGTTTATGGTGGCACATGTTAATTTTATTTGAATAACTTTCTCTCATTCAAATTGTGGAACGTAAATGTCAAAAAATATGTGACTTTCTGCTTTTATTTCATCTTTAAGCACTAATTTTTGACTCTCTTTTATACGTTTATGAAAATACGATGAGCAACAAAGTCTAATTTTGTTATGCTGATATCGTCCAGGCTGCTTTTAGATTATGGAGGAGATTATTTTAGACTTTGGGTTGCCTTCATAGTCGCTTGTATTAATGGGAAACACCGCGTGACATCTACTTTTATGAACTTTTAATTAGCTCCAGTGATGTTCTAGATACCTTCACTGTTCATTAACATCTTTGTATATTTTAATTACAACCCATGGCAAGATATAAGTGCGGTTTTCTTTACGATATATAAGAAAGAAGAGTGGGTTTTACCTGTCACTCTCATCCCAGGAGATACAGGACTGGTTTGTGGTGCCCTGGAGACAGACAGACACAGAGGAGACAGCAGACGTGTCATCAGAGGCTTTGGAGGAAAATCTATAGCGGGTCCAATTATGAGCAGAGACTTTGAGACATTATAGGGACCGAGGGTGGACTCACATTGTACAGATGAGAGAACTCCACCAGCACCGGAACAGACAGAGACGACGCCGGGCTCGGTTTGATGGCCACTGACAAGATCTTTGAGTTCAGGACGGTGTTATTTCTGCGGAGAAGAAGAGAAGAGAAAGTGAATTAAAGGTGCTTTGTGTCATTTTTCTGGTGGAACGTCCGTTAAATGTTTTCTTTTCGCCACGGAGATGTTATTGCGTTGTCTGGAAGGTTTCACAGTATGGTGTCAAACTTTTCGATCATCATGGAGACCAAATCAAACCAAGTTACAGGTCAGATCTGTGGGGAGGCGAGCCGGCTCACAGTCAGAGTGTCTGTTTTTCTAGGTATTTTAAGCAGTAGAAACACCTTAATTGGACAAATGATCAGAAGAGCTGTTTAATGTCACACTGTGGAACATTCCAGACAGAGCAATGACATGTTCATAGAAACAAGCAGGTGATGGAAGCCCGACCAAAAAGTTACATAATAGACCTTTAAAGGAAAAAGAGTTATGATGGGGGTGGGGTTCATTACACTGTCGCAGAAGACTTAGGTGGGGTCCACACGATAACGTTTTTGGTCGATACGGTGAAGTTTTTATTCGTTTTGCCCTTTTGTCCACACGGAGTTGGCGTTTTGGGTGGACGAAAACGGTGTTGTTTGAAAACAGGTTCCAGCGTGGAGAAATCTGAGAATGCCAGCGTTGCGTTGTTGTGTGGACAAGCAAAACGCAGCTGTTGGAAAACGATGTCGCAACCCCATGCAGGGCCTCGAACCACGCCTTAAACTGGCCTCCGCGCCCGCAAAGACGCTGCCGAAATGGGACAGGTTTATTGTTTATTTCAAGTTCTAGTCATTGTCACAGAAGAACAATGAAATTGCGTTTGGAGCATCACATAAAGTGCAAAGCCATAAATAATAAATACCCCTTAAACCCAAGTGTAAACATTGACCCAGTGTGGCTTCAGTACAACATGAGACGGTTCTTATAGCAGCATGATGAGGGCGTGTCAAGTAACGTACACAGACAGGGACATTCAGACAGAGACCTGAGAATCATGACAAAAATGCAACAGTGCAACCAGTTCAGTGTTATTAAGAGTTGGATGTGGTTTTTGTCCGTGAGAGGGTCGCCTACAGAGCCGCTCCTGTCGCCCAGCAACATGCACCGCGCAGATTACGCACACGGATCAATAACAAAGATTACGCACGAGTAATTAAACTGTTGGATTTTGAGACCAAGTTATTCTAATAATTCTCATCCAAATTTTATGGTTAAAACGAAAACCTATGTTTAACTTTTGCAAAACAAAACGGCTATTTTTCTGGGATACATCTAAAATAGACTAAATTACCTTAAAGTTAAAAAAAAAAAAAGGGTGATGAGATATGCATTATAAAATATTATTATCATTTTTAACAGCGTATTACATCGTTTTCACTTTGTGCTTCGTTTTCGTCTGGATGTGAATATTTATTGATCCGACACGTGTGGATGCAAATTTTTTTTCAACATGCAAAAAAAATTAAAACAAAATAAAAAATAATCCAGGACTTAAAGCTCACAAGAGTCAATTTTGTGTATTTTAGGACTTTTAATGAAAATGCTTATTGATTTTAAGCCATATTTGGTGACAATGAATAAGATATAAAATGCTCTGCTTAGGAAATACTTTTTTTCTTTCACATTTTCTCTCTCTGAACTGTACTCAGATATCACATTGTTCTCAGTGAAATGATGCGGGGACAGTGTCTGACACAGAAGTTTAAGTTGAAAGATTGCGTTTTATCTCCGTGTGGGCTAACAGTGCACAGGATCCAGACATGATACGAATCAGGACACGGAGCGAAGGACATGTGTGGCCTCTGGAAGCCTCTGCGTCCGCTTCTCTGTGCCAATCCACGTTTTGGTGATTGTCTCATTTTGTGTGATTGATCGCACCTATGAAGAGTCCAGAAGGTAATGCATACTAAACAGAGCAGGGGATGAAAAGGGCCAGAAATGTTTACAGTTTGTGTCATATTTTTGACAGCTCAAAATCTCTCTATATTTGATGCTGTTTTGGTTTTAACACTTTTATTAACCAAAAACAAATGACGGTTTATTAACAATTTATTCACTTTTTTGATGCCAAGTTAATACTAGTTGTGTTGCCAGTAATCAATCAGGTTTGTGAAGTTATACTGTAAATACAAAAGGAAAAGCCAAGGCATTAGTTTAAAGGTTTACGCAAAACTGACTCTTGTGAGCTTTTAGTCATGTTAGAATTCCACCTTGTGATGTCATGTAGTGGTAATTTTCAAGTTGACAGCTTTAGTGTGGGAGATATTGGCAGTTTCAGTGCTGAAATCATCCAAGTGATTCTAGGTCGAGGGTGTAGGTTTGCATAGGGACGGTGGGGAATATTTGGGGAAGACAAAATAGTTCCTACCTATATTTGACATTTTATTTTAATACACAAAAATATAAATTTATTACGATATTGTTTCCAAACTCAACAGTATTAATTTAACATGTTTTAGCTCACATTTTGTTTATTAGACATTCTGAGATGTATTCAATGATATGACGATGACGATTTATTGCTCAAAAATACACTGCCTCTACACAGATCTGACTTGTAACTGTTGTAACTTGTCTCCTCTGAAATAGATTAGTTTAATGCCATAATGTGGTAGCCAGGCTGGCGCCACCTAGTGCCTCCGCTCAATTTCATTTCTCTCCAGCGACTAGGTCAAGAATCAAAATACAATAGATCTCGGAAGTGCAAGTGAAGGAAGCGGTGAAAACAACCTGCATAGGCTCATGATATCTGCAGTATTGTCTTATAGAGACCTGAGACTTGAGGGACCAGGACTGAACCAGGACTGAACCAGGAGTAAAACAGGACTAAAACAGGACGGAACCAGAACTGAGTGTCGTGCGCCAGCGTAGACCATCGGATGACCACAGGCGAAAGGACCGGCACAGGTGTTCTTATAATAGATGGAAATCAGGTGAAAATCAAGCAAATAATGATCATGTCAGTTTCTACCTTTTGCCTTTGCACGACTCCTTGTTTTTGGCTCATGATACAACGGCAGAGTGGTCAGGCTGGTGCCACCTAGTGCCTCCCCTTGATTTCATTTCTCTCCAGCAACTAGGTCAAGAATCAAAATACAATTAGACGGTTCGCAAAAACCCCAGAACTGTGAGTTCGGGCACCAGCCACTCAGCGAAGAGTCATACATTCTGTGTTGTCAACGATTCCCGAGATCGAGGATTTAAAGCCGGAATAAAGAGAATGTTTGGTGAATTTCATCAAGAGGAAACACGTTATTGTCCTTCTTCCTACAGGATTTGGGAAAAGCTTAATATATTAGCCCCGTTAGCGGCACATTACATACAAATAGCAGCGAGTGGTTCAATTAAAAAAGTACGCCCCTACTGTCGAGCAAACGAATTCTAACACTGAGAGGTCAGACGGTTTGTACGAAGCGAAACAAAGTAAAACCGGCTGAAGAATCAGGCTAATAACGTGGAAAACTCCAGGCAATTTTGCATGGAGTCATTTCTGAATGCCATTATCCATTTTACGAAATAAATAAATAAATAAATTGAATCTAAAACATGCACCATATTGTTTTTAACTGTAGTAATAGAAGGACAGACCTCCGTGTGCGCATGGACAGACCCGCGGCTCTAAACTCGGTGTAATAATCCTGGTGAAATACATCCTCTTTTACATAAACACAAGATGAGTCTAAAACATGAGTCCGCAGATGAAAGCCTGTACACCCCCTGCTGCTCTTATGACGATGCTTAAATCCTTGTTTGCCTTGAAGTTTCCCTGCTCCACTGTAGCGCGCGCTAATGCTTTTCGCACTGTGAAAAAGTGACTGAAATATTTATCCAGCGCATTAAAGCTGCCAGTTTGAACACATATATTCAGCTTTGCATCAAAAAAACAATTCAATTTCAATATATCCAAACTTTGTCACTTTGCAGATAATATTGTTCTGCTTGAAATATTCCAAAGTATTATGTAATATGTCATTACAGATGTTTTTATTTCAAAAAATATAAAAATCTTGATAAATTAATAAAAACATTTGAAGAAAAACTGAATATACTCTATCTTGACCCAAATCTCAGCCTTAATATTTGTACTTTTCTCACCTTTTCAAACTCAACAATGTGTTAGAAGAGAAGACATGAAATATAAATATATGCAAAGAAACGTGACATGGTTTTGCCATCAGGGAATTACCTCCAACTCATTTATATTTAATCAGACTGTACAGATGCTTTTATCAGATATGCAAACCTTTCTATAGGAATGGTTCATATGGATGTTTTTTCTGAATTCTTAATCCACAGAAAAATAAATAAAACTAAATAAATAAATACTTGAACTCCTCTACTTGAGGCAGGTCAACCTATGTTCCTCCCGTCACCTATGGTCATGAGCTTTTGGGAAAGGACGAGATCGCAGATACAAGTGGTCAAAATGAGTTTCCTCCGCAGGGTGTCTGGGAGCTCCCTTAGAGACAGGGTGAGGAGCTCAGTCACACGGAAAGAGATTGTAGTAGAGCCGCTGCTCCTCCACGTCGGAGGAGCAGCTGAGGTGGCTCGGGCATCTGTCCTGGATGCCTCGTGGACGATGTGCCCGGAACATGTTACAGATGTTCTGGGCATGTCCCACCGGGAGGAGGCCCCGAGGAAAACCCAGGACATGCTGAAGGAATCATGTCTCTGAGCTAACCTGGGAATGCCTTGGGGTTCCCCAGAGGAGCTGGAGGAAATGTCTGGGAGTCCCTGCTTAGACTGTGACCCCTCCCCGGATTAAGTGGAAAAAAATGGATAGATGGAAATAAATAAATAATATAATACACATTAATACGAATATAAAATAATAATAAAATTCTCTTGGACTGCACATGACCTGCTTGTTTCTGTGAAAATGCTGTAACCTTCATTGCAAAGTTCCACATTATAGCTTTAAATATATACAGTCAAATACACATTGAAAAACATGTATTGCTGTAGTGGGTTGCCTCCTTTTAAATGGTCATATTTTTATACAACAATTTTTCACCTTTAAGGCTTTCAAAGAAGCTTTACATAAAAGACACACTCACAATCACACACCAGTGTACACGGACACTTGGAGCAAGGCGGTTTAAGTGTCTTGCCCGAGGACACAATGACAGCATTCATCAGTGGGAGGTGTTTTAAGTCGAGCGCGAGATTCAAACAGTGGACAAACGCTCTACCGACTGAACTACGGCCGCCCCCTCGTCTACATAACAGTGAGTAGTTCTGTATGTTTTCTCTTACCTCTGCAGAGCCAGGATACTGCCCAGGTTCCTGTACAACACAATCCCCGTCACGAACGTGGAGGAGTCGTCTGCATCTGAAAAAGAAACGAAAATCATCACCACATGAAGCTGAAGTTTTCAAAGCTCTGAATGCCTGAGTTAGGTTTAGCGCAGTGGGCCACAGCGAGACAGATTTCTTGGTTCATTTGTCAATCTGTGATGAATTTTCAGCACAAATATGGAATAACATCAGTGCTCCCTGTTAAAAAATGTATGTTATAGCTACAGTTTTATCCAGGCGCTACCAAATCTGCATCCCAACAAACAAAATTTATGTAAGATCTCCACTAATTGTTGTTATATATCTCGAGAATCATTATGTTAATTTGTAGTTTTTGCATCTTGTCCACAATCAAAAGCAATACTATAGCATCAAAACAAGCTTGCGCCTTCCTCTGTCCAACATTACTGGATCAGAACAGTGCCAGTAGTGCCTGTAATGCAGTATTGTCATGTGAAATTCAGAGGTGTGCAGGGGGCAGTGTTGGGAGTGTTACTTTTAAAATGTAATCCCCTACAGATTACAGATTACATCTCCCAAAATGGAGTTTGTAACATAATCCATGAAGTTATTTAAAGTGAGTAACGTAATCTGAATACTTTGGATTACTTGGTTTGCTGTAGAGAAGCAAAGACTAGGATGGTTTAGTCCTTGTTTAGATCTGGTTTAGACCTGGTTTTAGTCCTGGTTTTAGTCCTGGTTTAGTCCTGGTTTAGTCCTGGTTTAGACCTGATTTTAGTCCTGTTTTAGACCTGCTTTAGATCTAGTTTAGAACTAGTTTAGACCTGGTCTTAGTCCTGGTTTAGTCCTGGTTTAGCTCTAGTTTAGATCTAGTTTAGACCTGTTTTTTGTCCTGGTTTTAGTCCTGGTTTAGACCTGGTTTATATCTAGTTTAGAACTAGTTTAGTTTCCGGCAATGAGTGGAATTACTGGGAAAAATAAATAAATAAATAAATAAATAAAAAGGGGGGATATAGCCCAAAATGTGAAAACAGGAAAATACCACCATGTTATCCATTTATTTCAACAAAGTAACTGTAATCCAATTACCACTCACTGAAACAGTAACAATTACTCATCATTTGTACTCTGATTACGTAACTCCAGTACATGTAATCTGTTACTCCCCAACACTGGCAGGGGGAGGCGGGTCAGTGGGCTCCTCTCTCCAGCCCAGCGTCCTACATGTGAACTCAGCTGAACCAGAACACGCACAGAGCTGCTCCTGCTTTTACCCGCCCTCGCACTCACACACGGGGGGAGGACTGAGAGGAGCAGGGGGGTGAGGACCAGAGAACCAGCATCAGAGAACACATAAGAGCCGAGTTTTTTATGTGCAAATACTGGGTCATTTTCTCCATGTGTGGTAATGTACGCTGTATGACGTCATACTGTTATTGTATATTGTTTTTTAAATGTTTTAAAAGATCTAAAAACTGTGATTGAGCACAAAGTTGGCAATAAACGTAGCTCGACGCAGTATTCCTGGTGTTTTGCTCCGTAGAGATAAAGAAGTTAAAGCCAAACTAGCAGTTATAGGGACAAATATGGAGCAGAATTCCCTATCAAGAAAAGGAATTGATTTATGGACAAAATTGCAAAACACCAGGATTATTTAGAGCCGGTTAATACAAACATTGTAAGACCAAAATGAGGAGCCTGGCAGCAGCAGAGAAAGAGAGAGGCGACATTTATTTAATACAAACAATTGGATCCAGAATTTTGCATCCAACAACCAATTAAATTTCAATAAATCCAAACTTTGTCGCTTTGGAGATAATACTGCTTTATTTGTATTTTGGCCCAAATCTCAGCCATAATATTTGTAATTGGAGATAAAGAAGTTTAAGCCAAACATGTAACATTCTCCATGGAGACAGAAAGACTTATTGACATAATGTGCGTACGTAGTGTTCGGCTCCAGTCAAATGAAGCACAGAGGCAAGCAGTTATAGGAACAAATTTGGAGCAGAATGCCATATCAGGAAAAGAAATTGATTTATAGACACAATAGCAAAACACCATTTAGAGAGAGGCAATATGTTTTTTAATACAAACACCTAGAACCAGAGTCAATAGAGCTGGAAGAGCCTCCATGTTCACTTAGCTCAGACCTGGGCATTTTCCAGCTCCTGGTCGACTCTGACTGGCCCTTTAAAGCTCATTTTTAATTATAAAATAAACATATTTTATCATTTTAGCTCACGCATGGACTAAAGCTGTATTGTTTTTATTTTAGAGGTGTTTTTAAATGACATTTTTCATAAGACAACCTCACTTTTCATTGCTTGTCACAACATAAACTCTTACCAGTCTGACCAGCTCGTCAAAACAATCCTATTTACTGCTTTTTATAAAGAAATACATTTTCTGTTTCTCATGTGGCCCCATGGAATAAAAAATAATTGCCCAAGCAGAGCAAAAACATTTCCACAGAGACAGATGTCATGCCCTCCCTTCATAAGACTTAGTTACAGATCAGGTTTGTGGAGAGGCAAGTCTCCAGACAGCGAGGATGCATGTTTTTTAAAGTTGTTTTGATGCAATAAAAAAACAAAAAACAGCAACCTGCATAATGTAGTTGTGACATTTGGCAAGACACGTACACAAACTTGAAGAGATCACACCTCAGATCAAAATTTAAAACACATCCTGCATCATAAAAGTCTAATTGACGTAGAGATAATAAACAATTGTCTGTTTTATTACTCTGGGGACCATAAATTATCAGAACAACTTAAACACTGGAGCGATTTCACTGCCAAAAATACTGATAAATAGACAATAAAAGTGATTATTTATGAGTGAAACCCAAATCAAACTGAAGAATGAAGTTTAAACAGGCGTGTAATACTCAGACTAACACCATGGAAACAGTGATGATCAGTCTCATACGCTGCGTTCAGGTTCAGCGCGGAGAAAAGAGTTGTCTTGGCATTTGCTCCGTCACAAGATTAAAAAGACTGTTGTTTATTAGATCTGACAAATTATACCCTCGCTACAAATTATACACTTGGTTCTTTCATTTTCTATTTAACATTTCTTTCACCTGCCCCACAGCTCCAACAAAGGAAATGTCACTCGTGAGATTAAGTTTGAACTTAAACTCTGCAATATGTTATGTATCCCAAAGTAAAATATGTTCATGTGAATAACTATAAAAGAGCCATTTTACGCAGTTTTCTGATCTATGTTAGAATGTTGTTTCCTCATCACAAACAGACCTGGAGTTTTGTTTCATTCACACACGTTTAACACACAAACCCTGCGTATTAAGGCTACGTTTGTATGATGACGTTGATCAAAGTGGCGTTGGGTCTTCACTTTTTATTCCGCGTTTAGACGAGCGTTTTTGGGAGTAAATCTGCTTGTATACGGTGACGCAAAAGTGTGTGAAATTCGATATGTTTGTACTTAAAGCAACAAGGGCGTCTTTGGACATACGGAAGCTTTCACGCCACGCATTTTCATCAGCTCCTCCTTCCACAAAGTTGTCCCACCATCGACTGTTTCTCCAGGTCTCGTCCGTATCCGTCTGGCTCGCCTGCGACGACCTGGTGCATCCAGAATTTGACAGAGGTGACTGCAGATCCTTCTCCGTTCACAAATAGTATCTCTGCATATTCTGTACATTTATCGGGAGCCTCCTTGAAGGTCCGACGCATGGAAATGATCTGACATGTTTGTTTCTGTGTACTGTATGTATGTGAATGTGTAAACCCGTACGTGACGTGAGCAGATCTGACCAGAGTTTTGCATCTTGGGCAGTGTAGACGGAAACACTACGGCGGAGCGTATTCAACTTTTCCACTCTGGAGGGTGGTTTCAGATTTTTGCATTTTTAAGCCTCAAAAACGCCATCACCGTCTAAACGAAAGGCACTTCGGATAAAATATTTTGTCATTTTTACCCACAAGCGTTCTGGTGTAAACAGGTTCTTAGGCCGACTTCTTCTCTCAAACATTGTGTTTTTAAACTCCATACACCTTACAAGAATCATTTGGATAATTTCATTCCATTGTTTTAAAAAGGAGCTTTGTTCCTTGGTTTTGGAAAATCGTGTTTTTACCTCCGCCAAGGAGGTTATGTTTTTGCCGGCGTTTGTCTGTTTGTTTGTTTGTTTGTTTGTTAGCAACATAACTCAAAAAGTTATGGACCGATTTTGATGAAATTTTCAGGATTTGTTGGAAATGTGAAAAGGAAGAACTGATTTCATTTTGGAGGTGATCCGGAAGAAATCCTGGATTCTGGATCACTTTGAAATTTTAGTTAACATTGTGGTAAATGGGGCCAAAAATTTTGTTTCTCAATATCTCGATTAATTATTGACCAAACCCCATGAAATTTGACTCAGGGATGGACAATGGGATCCTCTTTCATATTCCAAATTGAAAGATACGAGACAAATATTTATGGAAAACACAATTAATATGAGGGGGACTGTAGTCCTTGGCGGAGGTCTGCGCTCTGAGTGCTTTTCTAGTTTTATATATATAGTTTATATTTACTGTCATTTTTTACCAAGCATGATGAATGAATGAATTATTTATGGAACAAAGCCATTCTGCACTGGAGCACTGTAACACTTTATTTCTAATTGTGTTTTTATATGTGTATAATGTGGATGAATGAAATGTGAAATGTGGGACCAGCCTCTCAAATCTGCAAAACAAATTTACCTACAGGTACAACTAAATCAACCTAAACTAATCTAACCTAAGGAATTGCCAATCTCTACTCAACTGAAGTGAAAAGTTAAATGTTAACTTGAAAACTACTGCTTCATGACAACAAAATACATCTACAGGTGTGTTTTTGAGGAGGTAACAAGTTTCTATCATTGCTTAAAGCTCAAAAAAGTCAAGTTTGTAATAATACAGGACTTTTAAAATGAATAAAACCACATAATATTATATATCCTCTCTTTAAAGTAGTTGTACTCAATTACTCAGACAAAGAAAAACAGACAAACAGACAAAAAATGCAGTCAACAGGGCTTCATCCGGCTGATACTTCCAGCTCAAACTTCCCGCT